ACTACACCCCCCTTTTCAACCCTAAGTAACCACATATCTACTTTCTATCTCTACAGATACCTTATCCTAGACATTTTTTATTTTATATAAATGTATTTCATTCTATTCACACTGTACAATCGTTATACAACCTACAAAAGTACAAAAGCCTAACCAATTTTCCCAAACCAGGTCAGAGCTAAGGTGGAAAAAAGGAACTGTATAGTAAGTGACAAAAAGAGTTGGGGTGTCCTGTACAAGTCATACTGCCTGTCGCATGATGTATTTAAAGCTATAAATATTGTCACAGGAGAATCTCTTGTCTTTGCTACAGCCACACAGTTCCTGTCAAAGAGGCCTCCTTAGACCAATGTGTCTTTTCTTTCAAAGGACAGAATCATACAAAAGGAATCATATGTGTTCTTTTGTGACCTGCTCCTTTCACTCATTTTCAAGGTTCATTCATGGATGTTTCTCTCTCTCTCCTTTCCTCTCTCTTTAAAATCAACAAACATATCCTCAGGCGAAGATTTTTTTAAAAGTATGATATTAACTGTAGGTCTTTCACAGATGCTATTTATAAGGTGGAAGAAGTTCCCTTCTATTCCTACTTTGTTGAGTGTTTTTATCACGAAATGCTGTCGGATTTTGTCAAGGCTTTTCCTGCATCTATTGAGATGATCAGGTGATTTCTGTTTTTTATTCTATTGATATGATGTAATACATTCATTGATTCTGGGATGTTAAACCAACCTTACATTCCTGGAATAAATCCCACTTGGTTATCGTGTATAATTCTTTTTCTATGTTGCTGGATTCGGTTTGCTAGTATTTTTGTTAAGGATTTTTGCTTCTATCTTCATGAGATATTGGTCTCTAATTTTCCTGTGTTTTCTCTGTCTGGTTTTGGTATCATGCCAATGCTGGCCTCATAAAATGAGCTGAAAAGTGGCCCCTTCTCTTCTATTTTTTTGGAATAGTTTGTGAAAATTTGGCATTAATTGTTCTTGAAATGTTTGATAGAATTCAGTAGTTAAACTATCTGGTCCTCTAGCAGATAAAGCCTGGGCTTTTCATCGTGGGTAATATTTTTATTACTAATTTACACTTTTCATTTGTTATAGGTCTATTCAGATTGTCTCTTCTTGAGTCAATATTGGTAGTTGATGTTTCCAGGAATTTGTCCATTTCATTTAAGTTACATAATTATTTGGTGTAGAACTGTTATTTTTCTTTTTGTTTTGTTTTTTAAGTCTTATGTTTCTCTATTCCTCCTTTACCACCTGCTTTTGCATTAAGTGAATATTTTCTAATGAAGCATTTAAATTTCTTTAATAATTTTTTCCACTATATTTTTAAAAAATTTTTTTTAGTGGTTACTCTAGGGTTTACCGTATAACCCAGATTTATCAGAATCGGCTTCAGATTTACACTAGCTTAACTCCAGTGATCTATAGAAATGTTACTCCTATATAGTTCCATTCCTTCCCCCCCTTTTTGTAGTATTTTATATATATTATACCTATTAAAGTTATAAACCTGGCAATACCTGGTTATAGTCATTACTTTACCATCTACAGTCATTTCCTATAGTCATTACCATCTATAGTCCTAACAGTTTATTATATACATACTTTATATAATTGCTTTTTAAATCAGTTAAGAAGAGAAAAATATATATTTATACTCTTTTATAATTATATAATTACCTTTATTAGTGCTCTTTGTTTTTCTTTTATGTGAATTTAAATTACTATCCGAGGTCACCTGCTTTTAGCCTGAAGAACTTCCTTTAGTATTTCTTGTAAGGTGAGTCTTTAAGCAACAAATTCTCTCAGTTTTTATATAGGAAAATATTTCACCTTCATCTTTGAAATGTCCTTTTCATTTGTAGCCAGCTGTGCCTGATACAGGATTCTCAGTTGACAAGTTTTTCCTTTGAGCACTTCAAATATGTTCTGCTGAGAAGTCAGCTGTTAATCTTACTGGGTTCCGGTCTAAGTGCAAAGTCATTTTTCTCTTGCTGCTTTTGAGATCTGCTCCTTGTCTTTGATTTTCAGCATTTTTACTGTAATATGTCTGTTTGTGAATCTCTTTCTGCTTATCCTCCTTGGAATTAACTGAGCTTCCTGAATGTATAGGTCATTGTTTTTCAGTAAATTAGGAAGATTCAGCCTTTTAATATATTTTTTCTCTCTCCTCTCCTGGTATTCCCTTGATGTACTTAATTATCACATTTCTCTGCAGCTCTGTACATTTTTCTTCATTCTTTTTTCTGTCTACTCTCCAACTTGCATCATTTCTATCAATCTACCTTCCAGTACACTGATTCTTCTGACAGTTCGAATCTATGTTGAGCCTCTCTAGTGAATTTTTTTTAAGTTCAGTCATTGTACTTTCCAACTCCAGAATTTTAATTTGGTTCCTTTAAATAATTCCTATCTCTTTGTTGATATTCTCTATTTGATGCTAAAATATCATTATACCTTCCTTTCCTTCCTTAATCGTGCTTTTCTTTAATTCTATGAACATAGTTATACTGGCTACTTTAAAACTTTTTCATGAAATCTGACATCTGGTCACTCTCACAAGCAATTTTTGTTGCTAGCTTTTTATTTTACTTTTTTGGTTAATCCTCACCCAAGGATTTTCAGAGTGAAAGAGAAGGAGGGAGGGGGAGGGGATGAGAGAGAAAGAGAGAGAGCGAGAGAGCACATCAATATGAGAGAGACACATTGGTTGCCTCCTGCATTCGCCCCAACCAGATTGGGGACCAAACCTGCAACCCAGATACACGCCCTTGACCAGGAATCAAACTTTCAACCCTTTGGGGGGAGGGGGAGGAGGATGCTCTAACCACTGAGCAACAATGGCCAGAGCTGTTGCTAGCTTTTTTCCCATTGAATGGGTCATACTTCCCCACTTCTTTGCATACCTCATAATTTTTGTTGGAAACTAGACATTTTAGATAATATATTATAGCAACTCTTGGGATGGCGCCCCCCTCTCCAGGGCTTGTTATTGTTATTTGCTTAGCTGTTTAGAGACTGGCTGACTTGTTTCAGTGAAATCTATTTCCCTCACACAGAATGAAGGTCTGTGATGTTGTTCCTCAGAAAGGCACATTTTGGGGTATGCCACCCAGCTGCTGGGTATGCCCAAAGGTGTTAGTAGGACTCTCTTTCTCTTTCCCTTATCATATCCAGCTGTTAAACTCCACTAATTGTGGCATATGGTTCCATTATTTTCAATAATGCTCTGGGGCATAACTTGCTCTACAAAGTAATCCAATCTAAAGGTGGTTCTTTGGAGGGGACAGTTTCTGAGACCAGCCTTTGATATTTGTTTTTACCCCAGGAGGGCTCTTCCTAGCTGTCATATTCCCTGATTCACTCCTGCAAACTAGCTGGCCGACAGTCTAGGCTGTATCTTCAAGCAATCCACAAATCCCATCCCGACTGCCTTTCACCAAAATGTCTAGCTCTTGAGTACCCCTAGGCATAAACTTCTCCATACTCTATTGTAAATGTAGCCACTACCTTGAGAAGAGATTTAGAAGCTAAGGGTTTTAAAGCCTGCTTCTCCATCTAGGCAAAATCTCTGAGCCCTCAGTGGAAGTGGGGAGGGGGGACATACCAGCCTGGAGCCTTCTCAGTTTGTGTCTCCTGGATGGAACCATCTCACTAGCTGTGTGGGGCTAGAGTAACTGGGGCCCAGTATTCTCAGTGTGCCACGCCCAGGGCACAGCCCCCCATTTCATAAATAGGAGCTAGGTGAAAGAAAGAAGCCCCATCTCTCTTTCACTCACTTGGTCTCAGCAACAAGTAGCCTGGGGCAGGATGAGAAGCACTGAAGTCTTGCTCCTCTGGGGGGAAAGCCTTCTGACTAAGAGCTTAGAGGAGGAGGAGCCCTGTGTTCTGAGTTACAGCAGTCTGAAGTAGAATCTCTATCTTGCTGAGCTGGTAGGAGGGAAGGTGGAATGCTACAAATTTCCACCTTTCTTACTGAATTTTTATGTATTTTCTTAATAGATGTTTCTTTGCTCGATGTTTGCCATTAGAACCATTTCCAGAGGGTTTAAATGATTGTTTTTTAAATAATTTTTACCAGTTTTACAGAGAACCAGGTCAGTAGAGCTCCTCACACTGTCCTGCTGGAAGTGAGTCCTGTGTATAGCTGCTTTTGTGCCACAAGGGTAGAGCTGAAGAGTTGAGTAGTTGCAACTGAGACCTTATGGCCTGCAAAGCTGAAAATATTTATTATGTGGCCCTTTACAGAAAAAGTTTGCCAACCCCTGACTTAGCCACCGCTGCCAATGCTGATAGTCCACAGACCACACTTTGAGTAGCAAAGGCTCAAATTACTTGAGAGACAGTATTGTATTGGCTAAGAGCTTGATTCAAAACCCCACTTCACCATTTACTAGATATATGGTTTGGGGTACCTATCTCACTGGGTTTTGAGAATTAAATGTATGAAAGTCTGCCACTTCGAAAGTATTCAACAAATGACAACTGATCATATCATGCAAACTCTACGGAAAATTTACGTATAAAATACCATCTCTTAGCTCAAAGAGGTGGGTTTTTTTTCCTGAAAATTTAAGTTTCGGAAAAGGCAAATAAGTATAGACTTTCCAATAAAACGAGATGCCTTTTAACACCTGGGGTACATGATATTATCTAATGAAGTAAAAACTCTATAGAGCTGGAGCTTAAGCCTGACACTGAAAACTAGAATCTGCTACTGCTGACGCTTCCAGCCTCTTACAGTAACAATGAATGAAAACTTTCAGGAAGTGCTTCCAAACCCCAACGCCCTATTGAAAAGGGCAGTAATTTATCTTTAATATGAGAATTTGGGCCTAGATGGCTCCTTCCGGTTCTGGCCATCTCTATCGATGCCCAGTAAAGATAAAAAGCAGAATCCCTCAAGTTTCCACCTCGACTGTCACCCCGAGGACCCGGGATCCCGCCAGGTTCCCACCTCGCCGCAGCCCGTCGGGGCTGCCGTATGATTACCTCGCAATTAAACTCCATCTCGGCGTCCATGGTGACGATCCGCACGGTGAACGTCTTGGGCTGCTTCCTCTTGAGCGAGCTGAAGCTCATGCGGGAAGCGATGGCCCCGGCCATGGTGCGGGGCTCAGGCCTGGGACCCTCGCGACCCGAGGCCTGCGCTCTGGGACTGTTAGCCCCCCTGGAGGAGCTGCTCAGGCCTCAGGGTCACCATCGTGGCCGGCAGGCAGGCCCGGGAACCGTTTGGGCGGCGCGGGCCCACGGCGGCCAGCATGGGCCGCGAGGACCCTGCCCCGGGAGCCAAAAGGGGGAGTTGCGGGGCGGGCCCTGACGGCCGTGGGGAGGGAACGCGAACGGGGACCGATGGGGTGGAACCGTCCGGGACTCGGGCCGGGACGCTGGGGTCACCTGGGAATGGGGCCCTAGACGGCTGGGGCGAAGATCCCGCGCGCCTCTCAGCGGCAGACTGAGGTCTCGGGGCCGCGCTGCAGCCGGGCGCGCACGTGCGCGCGTGGCTGTCACCGTCCTGGCTCCGCGCGCCCGGGGTAAGCGTCCCCTCCCCGCAGCCCCCGGCCTCTCACCGCCCCGCCCTCAGGCCCTCGGTCACCACTCACAACGCAACCTATCCGGCGGCTACCGATCAGACGCAGCGATTGGCTTAGAATTCCAAGGAAGGCGGGACTTGCACTCTCCGTCCGCTTTCTTCAGAACTACTCCACCAATTGGAAGTTTCGCTCTAACTGGGGGGCGCTGGCCTGGGCTCGGCGCTGACTGGCTACAGCGGCCGTCGCTCCGAACGCTTTTGTTAGTAGGGGCCCGCCTACTCTAGCAAGACTGGTTGAGGCGGCGGATCCCGGCGCACCTTTCCCGGGAAGGCACGTAGAAGCTGCCCCGGGGCGGGCGAGCGGGCTTCCCCGGGTCCTTTTGGATCAAGTACGTCGAGTGTGACGCCCCAAGAGATCGTGTTTCGGACACCCGGCGGATAATCCTGTTTGGCACTTAATAATAACGTATGCTGACCCCTGTTTCTCAAACTTATAAAACACTCCTGGAGGCCCCTAGGTTGCCGGCTCTCTCCCCCAGATCCTCCTGCTACTCCTCCGGAGATACAGTAGTTATTACAGGAGGGGTCAGTAATTGCACCTACCTCGTGAGGTTGTTGAGGAACTTAAGCGAATTAATATAAAGATTTAGGACGGTGGCTGGCACTTACTAGGTTGAATCCTAAGCAACTGCTGTTTTTGTAGACGCAAAACGGTCAAAATGAAAACATTTCTCACTTTGTACTCTGGTTTATATTTTTGAACCATATACGTGTATTATTATTAATTTTTTGAATGTCATCAAAGGTTGTGATGGGGGGGTGTATGAGGTGGGGGAGCACAATTTTCTGTTTTTAAAGAATAAGTCCTGTTTTTAAATAGCTCTTTAAGGATTGAATAGAGACAATTTCCTCTGTTTTAACTGAGCAGTAAACACTCCATAAATATTAACCATCACCTCTTCTCTACGGAGAAGAAAATAGGCTCAGCATGACAGAGCACTAGCTGGCTATCATCCAGATAGTAAAAGGGGAAGCTGGGACTAGAACCCAGGTCTATCGCATACAGAGCCTGCTGGTATTACCACTGCACTGCCCTGCTTCTCCGCTTGTGGCTGCCAAATTGCTCCTGTTGTAGCCCCAAGAACTATGAACTATAGTTCTGGAGCATTTAGCAGAAACTGTTGCTAAAACTATAATAATAGCATAAATCTAGTTCTTCCCCGCATGCCCCTGCTGGGCCATGAAGCATCAGCCAGGCGCCAGGCATCATTTGCTGGCACACCCAGAGAAGCTGCCACTGGGAAACTTGATGTCCTGTCTAGTGCTAGCAAATTCTCCCCTCCAAATTGATCGTTCAGGAAAAGTGGTCCAGGTGTGGGAGTTTCTTCATTTTCTTTTTAAGAATTTTTCATTGATTTTTAGAGAGAGAGGAACGGAGAGGGAGAGAGAAACATCAATGTGAGAGGGATCCATCATCGGCTGCCTCCTGCACGCCCCCTACCAGGGATCCAGCCCACAACCCAGGCATGCGCTCTGGTCAGGAATCGAACCCGAAACCCCCTTGGTGCCTGGGACGATGCCAACCAATTGAGCCACACCAGCCAGGTCAGAGTATCTTCATTTTCATTGCCTCAGTTCTTCCCTGCAGGTGGGAAAACCAGGCTGAATTCTCCCATGGGCTTCCCACAGGGACAACAAATCAGGGCTTTAACCCAGAGCCAAGACTGCTGACAGAAAATAAGAAACTCTAGCCCTAGCCAATGTGGCTCAGTTGGCTGGGAGTTGCCCCATGCAACAAAAGGTTGCCTGTGTGATTCCCTGTCAGGGCACCTGCCCAGATTTCTCGTCTACACTAAGAAATGACTGTTTTCTGGCCTAAAATTCATGCTTGTGCCTGATTTGCAACTTGCTGCTGTTTCTTTTACTGCAGTAGATACTTTGGGTCTTGAGCTGACATTCTGTATTAGTTTCCAAGGCTGCCATAACAAAGTCCCACCAACTGGGTGGCTTAGAACAATGGAAATGAATTGTCTCACAGCTCTGTAGGCTAGAAGTCTGAGATCAAGGTGTCAGCAGGGCCAGGCTCCTGTCAGGGAGCACCCTTCATTGCCTTTTCCAGCTTCTGGTATCCCCAGATGGTCACTGGTTTGTGGCAGCATCACTTCAGCCTTCATATGGTGTTCTCCCTGTGTGTCTTCAGATCAGCTTCCCTCTGTGCATGTCTGTGTATCTTTGTTTCCAGATTTCCCTTTTTCAAAAGGACACCAGGCATGTTTGATCAGGACCCACCCTAATGACCTCATTTTAACTTGATTCCCTCTGTAAAGACCCTATTTCCAAACAAGGTCACATTCTGAGGTACTGAGGTTAGGACTTCAGTATTTCTTTTTTAGGGGACATGTATGGGGAAATAGCTCTTGTGTTGCTCCTTTACTCTCACATTCACAATACTTCTGAAACAAAATGCATGGGTTTTCCACACCAAGCAATTTCCTGCGAGACCAGCAGAATGTCCTATAATTCAATTCAATTCTAACACTAACTAGAGTTAGTGCAGACCCCACAGGTTAAAGGTTCAATCCCACAAGACTGCCACCCTTTCAGATGCCAGTCATAGGCCCAGGTTGTCATCTGTACTTCTGACTGACTGGCTATAAATTGAGGTTCCCATGACCTCCTCCTTGAATTTAATAATTTGCCAGAATGTCTTGCAGAACTCAGGGAAACACTTGGGTTTACGGATTTACTATATGATCAAGGATACAGGTGAATAGCCAGATGGAGAGATACATAAGACAAGGTCTGGAAGGACCCAGGGATCAGGAGCTTCTGTCCTTGTGGAGTTGGGGTACAACACTTTCCAAGCATGTGGATGTATTCACCAACCTGGAAGCTCTCAGAACCCCATACTTTTGGGCTTTTTATGGTGGCTTCACCATGTAGTCATGATCAATCATTAATTCAATCTCCAGTCACCCTCCCCTTCCAGGAGGATGAGAGGTAGGACCAAAAGTTCCAAACCTCTAATGATGACTTTGTCCTTCTGGTGACCAGCTCCCATCCAGAAGCCCATCAAGCATCACCTCATTAGAACAAGAGATGTTCCTATCACCCAGGAAATTCCAAGTGATTTAGGAGCTCTGTGTCATGAGCCAGGGTCAAAAACCAAATATTTAAACAAAAAGTGCTCCTAGTGCTCTTATCACTTAGTGAATTACAAGGGTTTTAGGAGCTCTGTGCCAGGAGCTGGAGGCAGAGACTCAATATATGATTTCTATTATTTCACAGGACACAATTCAACCCATAACACTCCCCTTCCAGGAGCAGGCTTCAGAGCCATATTTATGCCAGGAGAGCAGGGGAGGTCCAGAAAAGTCACATTTTTCAGGAAGGATGCCTTCTGTAAACTTCACATCATTCAAAATTTTGTATTCCAAGAGCCTCTTTTCCCCATAGGAATGAATGTAAGTAGGTGATCAAATGTGTTTGCACAGCTCATAAATCTACAACCATCTTCCGTATTTTTGCTTTGATTCTGCTTTATATCTCTGCAGCATTATCTCTACCATATGGCTCTCTCCCAAATTAACAGCACCACCTGCCATGGAGGTGGTTCAGTCTTCTTCGTGGTGTTTCATCATATCTAATATCCACTCCAAAGATACTAATTTAGAGGAGGGGGGGTGTTTTTTAGCACTAGCATCACTACCTTGTGAATGTGTGAATGTGTTATATCTTTTTAAAATGGTTTATAATGACAGTGAGTGACAAAATGATAGCTGAAATAGTCACAAAAAGCAATTGCTAGAGTCCAAAGCATGCTAACAGTGTAATTCCCTCCATAAAGACAGTGTGGTCATTTGTTTCCTGGCTATAGTGGCGCCACCTTGTGGCAGCAGCATAAACACAGTTTATTAGTCATTCCATTCCCAACGCTTTGAAATTGTTCCATACTTAGAGTTAAAATGTTTCCTCTTTCTGACTTTTGTATGATTTCCAATTTATACATGGAGTGGCACTTTGTTAATGGTTTTATGTGGCACTGTGTCAAAGTCCCATAATTCATATCTGCATATGATGCATACCACAGGAAGGCTGGGACTTGGCAGTGTGGCTCATGCCCCAACTGAGACAGAAAAGCTGTCTTGTCACTACTGTTTGGGGTCCCACAGGAACTAGGCAATGCAATTTTGAGAGCATTTGGGCCCGAGCATAAAAGCCCATCAATAAGGAGCCGGTGACACAGCCACAGCTGGGTAATTTGTCTCTTTGCTATTCTGCAGCCCATTCAGTGATGATCTATTTGTCCTAGAGAATAGACAATGGCAGGTTTGTCCATATTTTATACTTATGAACCTGCCTGCTCCTCTCCACCTGGCGCTGCCCATCTGTCTTTGTCCCTGGCTTCTCTCATTTCATTTCACAAATTGGGCAAAAGGCCTTGGCAATGAGTTATGAAGGCAGATTCCATGATGGCAGCTTTGGGAAGGCAGAGAGGGAGAAGAGATGGGTCAGCTCTCTGCAGAGGGGAGGGATGGACAGGTGTGGGAGAAAGAGATGTCACAGACCCAGTGGTGGATGGGAAGGAACCTCAGAGAGGAAGGGGAGGGAGAGATCCTAGGACAGAAAACAATTTTGCTGGGAAGGGAAGGCCTGCTTATAGAAAACTGCTTGAAGAGGTAAGTCCAATCCTAGTAATTACGTTGGGCCTAGTGCAAAGTCTAATTGTGGTAGTCAGCTTCCAGGATGGCCCCTGTAACTCTCAAGTGTTGGTGTTCAAACCCTTGTAAAGCCCCCCCTCCCCCCGCTGAGCAGGGCTAACATGTATAACCAATGGGATATGCAGAGATGACAGAGCATGACTTCCAAGGCCAGGTTATAAAAGTTCTTGAGGTTTCCACCTTATTCTCTCTTGGAACACTCTTTTTAGGGGAAGCCAACTGCTATGTGGTGAAGACCCTCAAGCAGTGCCTGCAGAAGCCCATGTGGCAAGGAAATGAGGC